TGTTATCTGTTTACACTTCAGTAAACAAAAACAAACAAAAAAAGATTTTGTTCATCTTTAAAATCCTTTTTAGATTCCATTGAGACACAGCTCTGAAGAGTTTTGAGATTTGCCTTTAGGTGAAAATGAACACATTAAAAGCCTGTCACTTTAAGGACATAACTCCTCCCACCTCACCTGCCAGTGGTAGCAAGCAGTACAAAAAAACTTTTCTCCTTCAATGGACTCAGAGAAAAGGATTTTAGGGTACAAAATCCTATCTGCCCTATTGTCCATTGGGGGACACAGCTCTTAAGAAATCTGAGATGTAGGGATGTTCAAAAGCAGTCCAAATAGAGGGGCAGGCACCACAACAACTAATCACAAATTAAAAAAAAAAAATGAACTGTCAAAAGTACACTTAAGGAGAACTATGGTGTTAAGGCTTTCCACCATAGTTCTCCTTAGGGTAACGGGAGGACACAAACTAGCGTCCTCCCGTCATCCTAGGCTCAGTATACTGAGACGCTGCAGCTGAAGCGGATCCCGACAATTATGTCTGGATCCGCCCAGCTGCGTGACTGACAGCTGGCTCTGCCTATCTCTGCCTCCCCCGTCCGTTCCGCCAGTCAGCGCTGGAGGATCGGAGCAGGGAATCCAGCCGAGAGCAGAGAGTCGTGACAGGATCGAGAGGTGAGCGAACGCCGCTATGTGTTCGCTCACCTCCCTGTGACAGTCTCATTGTCACAGGTCGGCTAGAACTATGAGGTGAGTGAAAAGCACTCACCTCATAGTTCTCCTTTAAACAGCTGCCCGAAAAACCTTTATGCCAAAAGTAGCATCAGAAGAGTCAGAAACATCAAAATTATACATTGAATTATAAAAATTGCACAAGTGTGAACAGAAGACCAAGTTGCGGCTTTGTAATTTTGAGTAACAACTTGGTTCAAAAGGTTTTATGCAAAGATGAAAATCAAGTTCAAGGCCCACGGAGGAAAAGGAGACCCAACAGAAGGAGCTACTTGAGTAACTCTGAACAAAAGTAATTAAGGAATTAAGGCAAGAAGGCGTTGAAAGGACAGACAAGGCAGATGTCTAAACCCTTTATGGTAATTCGAGCTAAACGCTGATCTACCTCAAGTTGAAGGCAAGACAAAAAAGTCGCAATATAGAAGAAGAGCACATGTGGAAAACCTCAAGGACTTACATCAACGAAAATAAACCTTGCATGTATGCAAAAAAAAAAACAACAAGTAGATCTACCAGCATTAAGTCTTTAAAACACTTGGGTTTCAACAGACAGGCCATTAAAGCCAGCAACCGAGAATCAGGGTAGAATATTGGGCTCCGAGATAAACGATCTGGAAGAAGCCAGGGATTGTCTGCCAACAGGTGACCAAAATCGGAATACCACACCCTGCGAGGCCAATCTGGAGCGACGAGAAGGACTAAAATTCCTCCGTGTACCAACCTGCAAAGCAGTCGAGGTAACAGTGTTAGTGGAGGAAAAAACAAACATACATTAGAGTGTACTGTTACCAGGGCTCAAAATTTCAAGTCCTGAGCTACTAGCCAGGCCTTAAAAGTTACTCGCCACCAGTTGCCCCACCTAACCCCTACCCTGCCCCGGCCTTAACTCCGCCAGGTCAGTGGTGCAATGCCGAATGCAGAAGTCAGCAGCGTAACGCACAGTCACAGTACAGAGAAAATATTTTCTTTTCCCGCTGCATAACTTTCTGGCCGGGCCAACAGTTTCTCTGCAGTCTTCCTCCCAGCCTCGCAGCCGAACTGAAGACAGCGGAAGGGAAGACAGCCGAACTGAACGTCATCGAGGGTGTGCACCGCCGGCAGGACCAGGGATGGGATACTACCGCCGTGGCAATTGCTCGCTTCTGTTCTCTTTTCTCCTCCTCGGCCGCTCTGTAGCTATAGAGGAAAACAAAAGCGAGCAATCGCCGCGGCGGTAGTGTCCCATCCCTGGTCCTGCCAGCGGTGCACCCCCGCGTGACGGCCGCGTGAATGTCATATTCCACGGGCCCAACGCAATGTTCACTCGCCAATTGCGAGGGGCGAGTGGAAATTTTACCACTGTTCCAGGTGACAAAGTTGTTGAAACACCTCTGGATGGAGAGACCATTCACCCGGATCCAGATGGCGTCAGTTGAGAAAGACCGCCTGCCAGTTTTCTACTCTCAGAACGTGCACCACTGAAATCGCTGGAACCTGAAGTTCTACCCAATCCTACACCGAATGTACTTCCGTCACCGTTGACACTACTGGTACCTCCCTAGTCACTTTTTTATTCAAACGCAAGATGGGTCAGACGAATTGCCCTCAAGTCCAGTACATAAATCTGAAGCTTGGTTTCAGATTTCTCCAGATTTCAGACAACTCCACACAGACAGATGATCCAAGAGACAGCCCCATCCCACAAGACTGGCGTCCGTTGTAACAATCTTCCCAATTATAGGAAAATAAAAATTACTTTCCCAATGACAATGCAGGAGATGTCAACCACCACAACAGATATATTAATACTCAATCTGATCATGTGTGTCCAGCGATAGTGGAGACTTGTCCCACACTGTAACAATGTTCCTCCGTAAAGTCCTGGATTGAAACGAAGCAAACGGTACTGCTTTGACGGTTGACATCAATCCCAGTATTCTCATGCAGGTTCTCAGAGAGACACAGCGACAAGATCAAAGCGGACAAAGTAGATCCAGCATCATCAATATTTTGTTCCAAGGAAGGAACCCTTTTGCTTGAAGGGTATACAACAAAAGACGCAGATACTCCAAGCGATGTGACTGAAGTAGGGACGACTTCACAATGTTAAGAATCCACCTAAAGTCATCTAATGTACACAGCACCGTCTAGACATTTGAGTTCCAAAGTAGGACGAGACTGTTTGCAAAGCAAAAAGTCATCCAAGTATCTGATAACTGGAATGCCATCGCAACGAAAAAAAATCCCAGAACCAGAGCAAGAACTTTTGTAAAAACTCTGGAGCCGAAGACAACCTGAAGGGAAGAGCCACAGACTGATAAGAAGCATATCGCAAAACGAAGGAAATGTTGAGAGCTGGAAATCCCAGAATGTGTAAATAAATACACATACTTTATGTCTATGGAAACCAAAAAATCTCCTCGTCTGCAAGAGGCAACATCTGATCAAATGGATTCCACCCAGAATTTGTAAATATGTACAAACGTATTGAGTTCTTTCAATCCAGAATTGGATCAAGTCTTCTGTTGGGTTTGGGAATCAAACAAGACTCTAGTAAAAACCTTGAAAACGTTCTGGCACAGAAATGGGAATAATAAGGCTCTGCCAAAGGAACAGGAATTATTAACAGACCTTTGAACTGCCCAAAACAGGTTTGTCTAACACTGCAAAAACATGGGAAGCTGGAACGCAAAGAACTGAGGAAGAAGCTGAAAATAGACTCTAAAGCAGCGGTCTCAAAGTACTGGCCCACGGGCCAACTCTGGCCCGCGAGCCGGTACTAAGTCAGCCAGCTGACATGTGGGGCACACGGTCACAGACCGCGCGCCCGACTTGCGGGAGAAGCTACACGATCTGCATCTCTGACGTATGCAGACCGCAGAGCTGCTCCTGTCAGCTCCGGCCGGAGCTCTGTCAGTTCTGAGCTCCGGCCGAATGATGGATCATTAGTAAGGTCTAGTGCATACCTTACTAATGATCACCACTAGATCACAAGGGAACAACGATGTGCCTCCTCCCTGCACGGATGAAAGCAGGTGAGGGGGCTTGGAAGGAATATTCCATATATGAGGGAAGAATTCACGTTTACCTCCCATAGCTTTTTTTTTTAATCTAATCCAAGGAAACTTCAAAAAGACTACCACTGATGTAGGGCAAACATAACATTTCATAAAATTTCCATTTGCATTGGGGTTCTGCTGACTAGCATTTAAACCAGATAACTTTGCGTATCTAAATGGAAAAGACAGACACACGTGAAAAAAGAATCAAGAAAGGCATCATATATGAAATGAGAAGCAACAGTCATCTGATCCACACATTCAATAAAATGTGGATCAACTCCAGCAGTCACCTGTTCTCTACTAGATTTTGTCCAAAGTAGCCAATGGTTAAAGCGGTGCTGAAGTTGTTGTTTTTTTTTACAAAATCCTCTGGAAAAGGAAACAGGTACTTAAAGCATCTAGGAACCAGGAATTACTTATCTGGAACTTCCCAATATAAAAAACAAAAATCGGGTGAGAGGAAATAAACTTGCAGGCACGCTCAACTCAGGTTTATGTGGACCTAGACCAGAAATGGCAGAAGTAGAAATAAAACAGCAGATTCCTTTAATTTTAAAGAGGAATGCAGAGCCTCAACTACGAAAGCAACCATTACTTACTAATGCTGAGTGAATCTGTCACATCCCAGCTACTGCATCAATGATATGGCATAGTGTTTATGACAAGCATTCATTAGGTGTATTGTATTCATGAGCTGAATCTCTGTAACATGTTTATCAATTAATGAAGGAAAAAGTGCACTCCCAAGCACCTAGATAGGCATTACTAAATTCTGGCCGCTGTATAGCCGTCATGAAGGCTGCGGCTCCTTACCAAGTAAAAACTATGTCAACAGTTATCCAAGGATATGAAGGAGGAGGAAAACGGTTAATTTTTCCCAGTAAGCCTGAGCAGAAATAAAGAGGAGAGCTTCTCCATGTGGCCAATTTGTGAAGTACATATAGTTTAACCACAGGTCACCATAGCAACACCTCAAAGGCCTTGTAATGCACAGGCCACTTGTGACTGGAATAACCAGAAACATCAGTGAAACCATTGTAAAACAGAAATGCCACAAGTTTCTGAATAAAAACAGTAGTAAGTCACAGTAGGGGGGAAAAAAAAAATCACTTACAAAGATTGCTAGCTCTGTGGGATAAGATATGATACAACACTTTCAATATTTAAAGTAGACCCTCCATAAATATGTAAGGCTTGCTTTACTGCAAGCCCCCAACAACTCAAACAGAATTAAAAACGTTTATGTTTTTTAAAAATATATTTTCAAAAAAACCTTTTAAATAAAAACCAGGAACCCAGGCTTATGGGGAGGTGCATGTGACATCAATCTGCCTCATGGGAAAGCTGGGCATTGAAAAGCCTATGAGGATATATTCTTTAAAGCCAATTTTTTTGGGTAGTTTGGGACTAACAGTTAAGCAGAGCTTTCTTTTTCATAAAAGGTCCGCTATAAGTGTTAAAAAAGAAATACCTTCCAGAGCTCTTCTAGCTTGTTTATTTGCTGAGCTGTGATCTGGCGAGCTCTCAGCTGCTCTTGTTCAGATGGGATCTTCACCAGCCAGGAGAGGAAGCAACGATCTTGTATAAGGGGCTGCCACTGAGAGCTGTCCCAGTTAATATCCTTTAAGCTGCTTTGACTAGCACAGGGTTGCCTACAGGGGGAAAAAAAACAAACACAAAACATTCACATGGTTTTTACTGCAACACAGATAATTAGCCATCTACAGAATCTACAAGGCATTACAGCGATACATAAAAATCGAAGCACCATTGAGAAGTGTCTACATTGCCGCCATAAAAGAAATGTCCAGTCCCACCCCTTTCCTCCATAAAATGACAGCAGGATGCGGCACAAGCAGAGTCACTGGCTTTCAGTACTGTGTCTCCTGTACAAAGAACAGTCTAAAGGGGTGATGGCAACTACAGCTTGAGAGCAAGCCGGAACTGAGATGAAGACTTGCAGCAGTAACTACTAACCACCCACCGAGGAAGCCACTGTGGCAGGATTAGCAGTCAGAAAAAAAAGGGAGAGGCAAATTTTTTTATCATCAACATTCTAGAGCAGATAGGAGGAACAGAGAGGACAAACTAGCCCTAAGTCTTAAAAATAAGATAAGACACTTAAAAACACAGCCTTGTACTTGACAACATAAAGCAAAATATTATACAAGAAGCCTGATGTCATTCTTCAGTGGAAGGTGTCTAAACCCAATGCATCAAATGACAAAGTTCTATTTAAAAAGCCTGTGACATGTATCTTTTATCCACGGGTGGCCATGAAAACTATAGCTCAGGGTGTTCTGTAGAGCAAGAAAAATGTACTCAAATCACATCCCCAAATACAAATTCCACTGATCGGTAATGTGGGCAATAATTAGGGCTCTGATAATCATCCAACAGGCCTCCAGACTAGTAAAAATACTGAATAGTCAATGCATATTTCATTGGCTTTGAAGAAAAAAAACTTCCACACAAAGTAGGTGATGGCTGGTAAAAGGCATAAGGCTCTTCCTCCCTAGCAGCCAAAATAGCTTAGCCTATTATGCAAGCTGACCCTCATTAGATATCTGCTAGCCTGTTCCTCAGATTTGTTGTCACCGTAAACAAACTACACAAGAACTATACAATAAATCTGTTTGTTAAAGAGTTGATGTATCCCCATTGTCATGAAATGACGGTACAAAAAAGCTGGGCATGTTAGATAACTGCATCTTATTAGGTTCAAGAGAAAAGAAAAACCTCATTCACCATTTTATGTTTTTGTTTTTTTTTTGCTAATGAAAGGAACAAAAACACTAAACTGAGGAGTGAAATCTTATGCATTCACGTACCTTAACGCTTAGCATAAATGTATCTTATATGTGTAGCACTCAGCTAAAGATCACTAAAAACTACAGTCTCACGTTTAGTTCGCCAATTTGTATTGAGATTGTAGTCTACCACGTGAGGGGACTTGGAGTGGTGGCTACTTTACAACACACAGGGACCATGGGGAACAAAAATAGCCACCCTCCAGAAGGAAGGACAGTGTCAGCACCAATTCAGAGATGATTTGAGGATCTACAGCTGAGTGATAGACAAATAAGGTACATTTTTGTTAATAGTTACGGTATTAAATGCATTTTTAAGATTTAACCAAGTATAGTATCATTTTTGAATAGGATAAAGTATAAAATTAACAACTGCAAAAGACAAATTGCTATTTTCCATCCTCACCTACCTGCACAGCAACACAACTACTGAATCAGCTTTTGCAGGGATAAATCCAAGCAGAAACACATTTCTGCAACCACAATTGTAGCATTCCAACACCGTTTCACCCAGAGGTCCATCCTTGTGCAAAGTAACTTCTTTACACTTTGCTCTGACCAGATGGTTCACAATGTGGCTGAAAGGAAGGGAAAAAGTTAGCCAAGACATAATCATGCAAAACTATACAAAGCTAGACAAGGACATATCAAATAACTGTAAATGGCTTCCCAGATACTGAAGAAGTTAATGACTAAAAAGGGCAGGGTTCTTCTTTGATGACATACAAAAGCAAGTATCTCTAGTAGTCTTGGATCTAAAAATGCCATGTAATGCAGCTGGAATATATTTTTAATTGCCATCTTAACTTGCCTTTCATTGAATTCAACTTATCAAAGTTTAGCTCCTGCCAAACTGTCTGGTTGCAGAGTGGCAATACAAATACTGGTCTTGGCAAGAGATTCAGGCAAATATGGCCTGCTCACCAAGCAACACTTACTACATGGTCGTTTAATGCTATCTGATATGGCGGTTGGATACATCTTCTAGTTCAGAGGAGCTTTTGCACAAAAGCAGAGATTACCCTGCTGCCCCCATGGGCTGTCAATAGGCAAAAACTGCAAGTTATTTCAAATACAATACCTTGGGGCTCACAGGTAAAGCAGATTTCACAACCTAACTGGGCATAAGAGATAGACAGAGACACACTGAGGCAGCCATCTGTGCCAGTATTACTGCTGCACAGATATTGTGCCATGACTAATCTTCTAGATTGAAAACGGATGATCTGCGCTACCGAAAAAACAACAGGAAGATAAACCGGACTAGCTAGAAGCCACTAAGCTCAGGTCCTAAGCCTCAAAAGGTTAAGAGAACTATGGGTTTAAGATTTTTCCCCATAGTTCTCCTTAGGGTAACGGGAGGACACAAACTAGCATCCTCCCGTCACCCAAGGCTCAGTATACCGCGAGCTGTAGCTTGCGGTATACCGAGACGCCGCAGTATACCGCGAGCTGACGCTTGCGGTATACTGAGACGCCGCAGTATACCACAAGCTGCTGCTCGCGGTATACTAAGACGCCGCAGCTGAAGCGGATCCCGACAATTATGTTTGGATCCGCCCAGCTGCGTGACTGAAAGCTGGCCCTGCCTATCTAGAGAGAGAGCCAGCTGTACCCGCCCCCTCCCCCGTCCGTTCGCCAGTCAGCGCTGGTGGATCGGAGCAGGGAATCCAGCCCCTCCCGTCACGGCAGAGAGCCGTGACAGGATCGAGAGGTGAGCGAACGCCGGTATGTGTTCGCTCACCTCCCGATCTACTGAGCCGACCTGTGACAGTCTCATTGTCACAGGTCAGCTAGAACTATGAGGTGAGTGAAAAGCACTCCTCATAGTTCTCCTTTAATTAGTCGATGGTGCAGCGCTATAAGCCTCACGGTATAATAAACTAGAAACAGTGTTATGAGAAGGGTTTGTAAAAAATACAAAATCCCTTGATGTATTGGTCCTCTCTCCAAGGAGAGTATCAATGTGTTATATGTGTCTGCATGGACACTGACAAACGAATAAAGATGTTTAACAATGTGAATCTCTCTCAAAAGAGAGTAGCATGCAATATTAAATTGTGTTGCTAAAATTGATACATGATTGTGAGTGTGCATGTAGAAAAAAAACACATGCAAAAAAACACACACAATCCTAACCGAAATGCTGTGAGTGGAGATGCTAACATTAAATGGTTAAAACAAATATAAATGAATAAATAAAATAATTGTGTGTAGTAAACAATGGAAGTGTCCAATTCTGTTTATTTCATCCTCGGGGAAAAAAGTTTTTTTGAAATGATGTGAAGCAAATGTGTCCCACAACTCAAAGAACCGAAAGCTGCTCGTCAGAAGAAAAAACCCCCGTAGGGTATGCACTCACCAGATAAAGGGTGTTTGTAAACCATATAGTTTTCCGGGATAGGGGCCACAGCGCTCTGTTACATGCTACGTTCCGTCATCGCCTCAATGTATCAGGAAGGAAGCCGTTACTTCGCCGTGAGAAACTTCATATGGAGTTTCCAGAAGCCGTCAGGATCCAAATCCCAGGATTTATGGCCAGATCCAGAAAAAAAGGGGGCAGAGCAAAGTGCTCATAGTGTATCAAAATAGAAGTTTATTTAGCACCATAAAAAACGCTCAGCATAGCGTTACCAATAAAAAAAATAAAAAGGAGTATAACTGGCCAGTCAAAAGGTTTTTTTGAGCACTCTTCAGACTGTTGATGTGCCGTGAATACAGGCCCGTATTCACGGCACATCAACAGTCTGAAGAGTGGCGAAAATTTTTTTTTGACTGACCGGCCAGTTATACTCC